AACCCTCCCCTCTGTCCAGCACCCTCTTTAGTGTTGTGCTGCACAGACCTCACCACCCCAGCAATCTGAGCTCTGGTCTCTGCCTTCCCACTCAAGAAATTGCCATTCTGTGGAGGACCGCTCTCTGCCTGGGCCCCGCTCTCTGCCCTGCAGTCTAGAAATGGGTCCCAGACAGCATGATCTGGTGGCTGTGGGGACTCACCTTTTTTGTGTCTTCTCTTAAGGAACATATCATGCACGGTCGAAAGTGTGTCTAATGCTTGAAAATGGTTGCTTCTGTATCTTATATTTATAATTTTTATATAGTAGGAGGCTAGTCATGTATTCTTGTGGCCAGAAACAAATCATGTACAACAATTTTAAATCATAATTATGATTTTATAGCTGTGTAGAAAAATGTGTATGTGTGTGCAGTATATAAATACGAAATAATGTGACTTATAGAATTAAGAATTACTGAAATGCAGTATGCAGTTTTATGCTGAAAGTAATAAATTCTCTTTAACCTAAAAATAAATGTTTTGTTTTTAATTCCCTAGCTACCTAATACATTTGTCAAATTTATCTTCAAATTATCTTCTGGGCTGAAGATGTAGCTCAGTGGTAGAGCACTTGCCTAGCATGCATGAGGCCCCAGTATCATAAAAATGAATGAATGAAGTTATATAGTGATATTATTACATATACAGTAAATAAAGACAAAAAGATGGTCTATCCACATATTTACTCTGAGTGGTTTGGATTATACATGATTATAATGTGAAACAGTGCCACATTCAGAGTTTTCTTTCTTTGTTTTTGTTTTGTTTTGTTTTGTTGGTCTTTTTCAAGACAGGCTTTCTCTATGCAGTTCAGGTTGGCCTTGAACTCACTTGTAGGCCAGACTGGTGTCAAACTTACAGTGATCCTCCTCTGCCTTAGCCTCCTGAGTGCTGGGATTACAGGCACGTACCACCACACTCAGCAGAATTTTCTAGAAGTAGAATCTTCAAAAACTTTAGAACCTAAGCTAAATAATCTTGTGTGTGTGTTTTAACTTTTCCAAACCAAACCCAACCCACAGTTATTTAGACTGCTATTTCCATCAATTTAAAGTTAATGAATTGTGATTCAATGTATTATAGCTATAAAGGAAAGGGAAATATATATACATGCAAATAAGTACATGAACTGAGATCATAGGAGTGATCACTGCTACACAACTGTGAGACTGAGTCTGCCAGTCATATTGTAAATACTTGTCTTACTCAAAAATTCTTTTTGAGTATTTTTTTTCAAATTCAAACTTTTATGAAAAGTACTTGGTGTATTTTGAATTTTCTATTCAATTCTCTCCTTTGTACTTTTTTCTTTTTCTAAGAAAACATAATTTCCTTTTTTATTATAGGATTCCCATAGCTGGTGTGGTGGCCTACAGCTGTAAACTTAACACTGGGAATCTGAGGTTGGAGGATTGCAAGTTCGAGCCCAGCCCCGGCAATTCAGTGACTTAGACCCTGTCTCAAAATGAAAAATGAAAAAAGAGCTGGGAATATAGCACAGTGTGAAGTCTTTGGGTCTAATTCCCAGTACCACCAAACAAAAAGACAAACCAGGGTTTCTGGGTTTTTCCTCAAGGAGGGTGGTGTAAGTTTTAATGAGCACTGTTATAGGTCTTTAAGTATAGTTTTTATATAAATAAAGTTTTAAAAAATTACCTCTAGTTGAAGCAGCTTTATAATAGTAGGGAAATTTTAAGACATTTCTTAATCCTACTATTTTAATCATTACTATTTCACCATTTAGAGTTTTTTTCTATGTATATAATAATTTTAAATAATTCTAATTATAGTACATGTACAGTTTTGCTACCTGCCTTTTTAACCTCATATTCTTTTTTATTCTAGTTTATTAGTACATGTGTACAGTACATACTGTTTCTATTCCTCATGAGAAATTAGTACATGTGTATAACCTCAGGGTAGTTCTTTTTTTTTTTTTTTCAGGTTGTTTTGTAAATACTTTTTTACATTGTTGCATGGTAGTAATACTTACTATTTTAAATGCCTACATAATACTCCTTTGAGTTACCATGATGTTTTCATCCCCCTATCACTGAGTTTATTTCCAATTTTTTGTTACTATATTTAGGGTTCTAGTAATATCTTTGTATAAATATTTCTCTGTGCAGAACTTCATTATTCCTTTGAGTTACTTTTTCTCAATAGATTCCAAGAAGTACAATGCATAGATCAAGCAGTATGAACCATTTTTTCCTTTGCTTTTTGTTGTTGTTAAATGCCTGATCATTTTCAGTTTGCTTATTAGTTAGTTTCCTCTGTGCTTAAATTCTATTGTACTTCTTACTTATAACAACTTAGATAATTCTTATTGCTGGATATTGGGTTTTAGCAGATATGAATCAGACTCTTCTAATGTAAAAAGAACTGCCATACAACAGCAGGTCTGGAGGAAGTTCCCATAAATACAGTGGGAACATTTTATAGGTTTCTGTGGGGATTCTGTAACTGTACTGTAGGAAAATCTGTTCTGCAGGAGCTTAGGGTATAACATTCCCTTCACTTCTCAGTTAAGAAAATGAAGTAACAAATAGTTTAAGGAAGTTAGAGCAAATTAAGAAATAACCAAATCTATTAAATCCTTAGGAAATGGTAAATTAAAGTAACAATTTAAAAGAAATGTTTAAAGCTGAAGACCACAAACACTCTCATTGTCTCACAGCTTGATTTTCTATCATGTGTATATAAAATGTGTATTTGCCAGCCCCAATTCTTATGGTTTTACTTACATATATTAGAGTAAGTCAAAATAAAAATTTATTCTAATTTAATTCACTAAAGCAAGTGACAGAGCTGCTTAATGATTATTTGGGTTGTAAGTAATCACAGTTTTTAAAAATAGTACTGGTTAGATTTTTATCTATGGAACTGATTTTTATAGTCTGTTTGCTTTTCCTGGAGATTCAGTATACCAGTCTTGATCCTTTTTAAAAAAAAAACAAAACATTTTCTCACCTTTCAGTAGTGTATTTATAGCTAGGTCACTGGAATATACCCTCTTATATCTGATTGCATAAACGTAACTTAAAATAGAATGAGGTTCTCATCCTTCCACACAAAGTAGCTCCTTTATTCTGTCATTGTTAACCCCTACTTTCCTCAATACTCAGTGATCAAACCTTGGAATCATTCCCAGCTCTCACTTTCTTTTCCAATATCTGGTTATTTCCAAGTCATCACTACAGTTTTTTCAGTGTCTTCCCCCAACTGTTCTTTTCTATTTTCTATTACCAGCACCTTAATCCTGTGACTCATTACTCCTAGACTACTACAACAGTCTAATCCATCTCCCTGTAGTCTCTGCTTGCTTTGTTGTGTCTTTTAAACTGTGTAACATCCTCTAAAATCTGGTACCCACATCCCAACTCAACTGCATTTCCCAAGAGAGCCAATCAAAATAGATTTTTTTCATTGTTTCCTGTATGCGCTGCCCTAATTACCAGTTTCTTAAGGAAAACAGTTATTGCCCCAGACATTTCCCCAACCTGAGCCTAAACTCATCTTCCCCTTAAGCTTTCCTATTTGCTCCAGGTAGGGTTAATTGGCAACAGTTCCACTCATCAGGTCCTAACAGTGCATGCTCCATTGTTTTATCATTCACTTTCTGTTTATCTGCCTGCATGAGAAGAACATACGCCTTTGATGGATTAAGTCTTCAATCTCACAGTTTCCCCCACTCGTTGGTAGACAGTAATGGACTAATGACTGAGGAGATAGATAAGACATAACTCTGAGTTTGAATTCTGCTTCTGCCACTTTCAGCTATAGGACCTTGAGAGAGTTACTAAACTTCTGTTTCCTTATATACAAATAAGCATAATTATAGCCCCTTCACAAGATTTTTGAAAGGATTAAATAAAACAAATATGTTTGAAATGTGCTTAGCACATGTCTGACATGTAATAATTAGTAAATGGTAGTAATTACCATGCTAACTGGTCAGTTAATGTTGGTCAGTCACTGTAATGATGACTGACATAAAAATCTAAGAATTTTATAACTAATCTATTCTCATCTGTTAGATGCCTGTAAATATCACATGATAACAGTGTTAAGATGTTTTCTTATAGTTACCAATAAGCTTTTTGGAACTTAAATGTGGGGTGTTTGGGATTTGTTTGTTTCAAAAAATGGAAATTCAGAAAATTCAGGATATTGTTTTACTCATATATAGTCTAACCTAGTGCAAAAAAAGGAGATATGAACCTTGCAAAAACAAAACCAAAATGAAAGTCACCTTTCTTATATATAAATGTTGCCTCCATCCTAAGAAGATTTTTTTTTTTAATGCTAGGAATTGAATCCAGGGGTTCACATATGCTAGGCCACAAGAAAGAAGAAAGACATTGTTGTAGCACAGAGTATATTCTTATATAGGACGGATAATGTATGCTATCATTTAAATGTAAGTGAACCTCTTCAGAAATTAAAGAAAGTAATAAAAACAAATCTAAAGTTACTTTAAAAATTAAAATTGCAGGGTAAATACAAAATATTTGAAAATTTGCATGTCTGATAACAGAGTATTAGAAAATATTTTATAAAAGGAGCATTAAAATATTGGTAAAGAATGCCCTGTTCATAAATTAATTAAAAGGCAGATAAATTTAGCTGTAGAGTTAAAAAACAGCAAACATACCATACCCAGATAATCAAAGATCAGAGTATTCTGGGGATATTATTTCAGCAGCCGTTTCCAAAGGTAGCTGGGGCTTATAACACAACCAGAGTTAAACAGAAGAGCTGTAGGAGTTATAGAGTCACACCAATACCATCAAGAGGAACATATGACACAGAACTACTCAGTTAACGTGCTGTTATTTTGTATCACTTGCATTTGCCTAATCTAGAAGAAAAGCTAGTCCCTGGCCACCTTTTTTTTTCTCCTATTATAAGGCATAGTTTACAATCTTTTTTTTTTTTTTTTTTTTTTTTAAACAGGGATCACATGCAGTGGTCTAAAGAAGAAGCAGCAGCTGCCAGAAAAAAAGTAGAGGAAAACTCAGCTGTGCGAGTCACTCAGGAAGAGCAAGGTAGCCAATGATATGAGGCTCCTGGAGCCTAGCTTCTCTATTTGATCTGCTTGTTCCGTTCACACTCTCATCACCATTTCCTCTCCTCTGTCATTGTTTTTGAGAGTTCTTAGCTTCTGTCTAAGCCAATCAATCCACTCATTCCCTTTGGTAGAATTCCCAGTTCTTCTGGTATAGTGGGACCAAAATTAATGAAATAAATTATGTATTCACCCTATAATTGGTCTTTTGGTAGTCATATTGCTTTTTCTGGGAGTTACACATATGGGTGGCATTTTGAGCAAGATATGAAAATGTAACTTTAAAATTTTCTTCTTGCTATATTGCTTTCAGTATGCCATTGTGTATTTCACTTGCTAGAAACTTTGAGCAAATTCATAAACTTTAAATAAAGAAGATAAAGTCATACAAAACATTGCTGGTCTTTTAGGATAAAGTTTTAATAAGGATTGAAAATACTCTTCTTAGGGACCTTTTATTTATACTCTAATTTAGGTAAGCTCTTGTTAACATTGCTCTGAAAAAATTGGCCTGTGCTACTGTCAAAAAACCAGAAAATGACAAGTGTTGACAAGGATGTAGAGACGTAGGGGTAAGCCCTTGTGTACTCTTGGTGAGACTGTTACGTGGTGTGGCCACTGTGGAAAACAGTACAGAGAGTCCTCAGAAAATTAAAATTAGAACTTCCATGTGATCTGACAATTCACTTTTGGGTTATATCCAAAACGTTGAAAGCAAGATTGCAAAGAGATATTTGCATTTCCATGTTCAGAACAGCACTGTTCATGATAAGCAAAAGAAGCAGTCCAAATGCGCATTACTGGATGAATGGATAAAGGAAATGTGGTCTATATGTAAAATGGAATATTATTCCACCTAAAAAGGAATGAACTCCTATTACATATGAGAACATGGGTGAGGACATCTCGCTAAGTGAAATAAGGCCATCACAAAATAAATACTATTGTGCGATACCACTTACAGCTAACGTAGTGAAACTCAGAAACAGTAGAACGGTGCTTGCCACAAGCTAAAGGCATGGGGAGAGGGAGTTATTTAATGGGTTTGGAGTTACAGTTTGGCATGTTGGGAACAGTCTGGAGCTGTTTTACAGTGTGCATACTTAATAATACTGGGGTATATGCTTAGAAATGCTTAAAGTGTTAAATTTTATGCTCTGTCTTTGCTGCAATATAAAAAAAGCACACATACATCTCCCAAAGGAAAGAAAGAAGAAAGACCCGTATGTCCTTCTCTGTACATATCTAGGAACCCAAAGACACTGTGCCAGCTCCTATGCATTCTGTATGAGATTTACCGCCTTAATTTTCTTAGAACGACTTTTTGCTCAAAACATATTGGTTCTCTTTCTTTCTTTTTAGAAATTAATTTATTGAAGGACCAGATAGAGAAATGTATACAGTTCAAAAATGAATTCTCAGCAAAGTTCAGTAAATTTTCACAAAGTGAATACATCTGTGAGAATAGCACCCACATTGAGAAACAGAATATTACCAAAAACCTAGCAGCTTCCTTATGCTCGTTCCCAATTATGGTATTTCTCAGACCCCTCACAGCTCATAAAAAGCAAGCTCTATTCCCGCTTTTAATGCCATGAATTAGTTTGCTACAATACCCTTGTTCTATTCCTTATCTTTTTCTGTTATCCTGATAGCAGTATCACTGTAACCTGTGAATAAAGCAGGAGTCAGTAAACTATAGCCCTTGGGCCAAATCTAGCCTGCTGCCTGTTTTTATAAAGTTTTATTGGAACACAGACAACCACAAAATTGAACAGTTGCAACAGAGACTCTATGGCCCCACAAAAGCTAAATTACATACTGGTATTTATTTAGGTATTTATTCCTAGGTTGATCAGCCATCCTGAAACTCCCTGGGGAAAAATGTTTGCGTTCCTTCTCTATATAAGCCAAGCTTAGTGAAAATGACTAATCCACTAGTAGCTTGTTGTTCTGATGACATTAGCCTGCAATGGAGCCTGACATGTGAAGCAGAAACATTAGAGGAGACTGAACTAGCAGAACAGCCCTTACCCAGTGAAGGGATCAGTGCTGACCCATACTCTAGTACCTTGATAACCTCTTATCCTCTGGCATCGTTTGCTGTTCCTTAGAGGTAGTTCTCCTTCCTCAGCCTAAGCATTAGTGTGTCCTGGGGCGTGGACAGGAGAGAGAGCACCTGATCCACAGTGGGACATTCTATTTCTGCAGGCTCCAGCCATGCAGTCCCAGAGTGGAAAAGGCTGGGGAGCATTGGGTTGGATTTGAGGGAGCATACCAGTGGCGGTACTGCCTACAAATCAGCCAGCATTGCATTCCTTTGCAAGAACTCTGTCACACTGTTTCTGAGGAAGTATAGCTTTGCTTCTTTGCCAGCAGCTGCACAGACATATTTTCCACATTACTCAGGCTTCTGCTAGTGGCCACCTGGATGTGACAAAGAAAGTTGAGCCTAAAGTGAATTAAAAGTTATCAGCCATTTTAATTCATTTCCAGGAAGTTAAAATTATACATAGTATATTTCTGATAATATGAAAAACCAAGGATTTTTTTCACCCTCTTTTGAATATTTCTGGTCAGAGCATAAATACTTGTAGATGAGCAGAGCTGATAAGATTCTCTTAAAGTGCTTTGTACGTGACTGCCTATTTTGTCCTGTTTACGTTAACAATGAACTTGAGTGAAGCTAATGAGAAGGTTATTTTAGGGCCTCGGAAACCGCAGAAAAGGAGAATGACAGTTCCCACAGAACCGTAGTGTGACCGAAATAGAAAGGTGGTGACTGGCCTCTCTGTGGAAGCAGGAAAGGCAGGGAGGAGAGAGCTGATGGTACCACTTTGAGGCATTTGATTTGCTTACTAGTAAGTCCAGTCTTTTTCTGAGGATCATTTCTGGCTGCTGTAAAGACAGGACAAAAGATTCAATTTCAAAATGACTCAAAGAGGCAGAGGTTTCTGCTGGGGCCCCTCTGTATCCCTGTAACACTAGTCAGCACAGTGGACTTCATGTGTGTCAGAGGGCCCCTGCAAGTGGGGGGGACACGTTATAAAGTGACCACATTGTCACACTTAAAGCAAGGTTGCCAGCAGGGTCGCAAAGGAAGAAAACATGTGTTCTGAGAAACTGTGTTGAGGGGCAGGACATTACAGTGAGAGCCACTCTGTACAGTTTCTGCTAGGGATCGCAGACTTACCCGTCTGCAGAAGCTGGGGGCTTCTGATGAATGTGGATCAAGGTGAATAGGTCATTTAAAAGCTCTGGTTCTACACCTGGTGAGAACCCAAAGGAGGTCTTGACTGGCTCTTCTGCCCACACCTCTGTTAACCACCATCTTTTCTTCTCTAGGAGAGTCCAAAGAGCCACTTTTCTCTCATCACAGAGTATTCCATATGCAGATCATTATAAAGCACTATCTATTAATGTCACTGTGAGGAAATAACTCTGGCATATTGCTTTTGGTCTCTGTGAAGCTCGTTCTCCTGTTACTCTCCTCTCCCTCAATTTACCTGTTGTCATAGCTATTGATGAGAATCAAGTCAGGAAACACCCTCAGAATCTGAAAAGGAGAACTTAAGCATCACAAATAACAGTCCTTTGGTGCAGCATGGCTGACATCTCATTTCTGTGATTAAAATGTATAACATCCAGGCTCTCATTGGCAATATTTCTTTCAATTAGATTGCCCAGATTAATGATTTTTAATTCAGCATTTCCTTTTCGTAATTACTTTTCAATTTTATTATAGCTCATATTTCTTTTAAAAGCAGGTTAACTCAGAAATGAGAAAGATACATTTGGCAGTTTTTGAGTTAACATGATTATATTTTATAATTTCCTAAAAAGATCTCCAGTGTGTTATATCTCAGCCGGTTGTATAGCAAATGTAATGGGTTTTTAAAACTTAATAACAAAAGCAGCTGCTATTTCCATTTTAAAATATCCTTGTAAATAACTGCATACCTAGGGTAAATTATCTATGTCAACCAAAATAATAAGTCTCACTGTACTTCACCTTGTAAATGAATGTCTTACCACATAGGAGAATATTCCATGTAGAAAAAAAAGATTAAAATTTTGTACTGATGAATACAGGATACCTGTTTATAAGGTAGCTTTGGCGGTTTAAAATTTCATGCAGTGCTTTTAGTAATATACTTTTAATGTTGTAATTTCAAGAGCTTTCTTTTATTAGACAATGAACTTCATCCGTGACATGTGGAAATTTCCAACTTAAAAAGCTCAGGTATTTGCGTAATTGATGTGCAAAAATAACTTCACATTGCTTTTTGTTACATGGCAACTTAGAATAAATTTTCATCATTCATATTAATCATATCATATATGCCAGATACATAAATAGTTTAATTCACTTTTTTTAGTTATGATACTCAGGGTGATTCAGAGTGAATTCTGAATGTTTAAGTAGAGTCATTGTGTCACGCTCCTTCCTCTCAGCATTATTGAATTTAATCAGTGAATAATTGAGAAGTTGCTTCATCTGGCTGTGGTTAAACAGATCACTACATCCCTTTTACTTCCATTGGCATAGAGCAGTTATTTCTGAATTGGCAACTTTGCAAAGGAAAAAAATGTTCCTCTAAGAAAAATTAATGGTTCATATACCTGTTAGGCAGTCCGTCAAGATCAGGACATTACAGATTCCTCCATACTACATCTTTTTATCGACCTGAACTTGTAGTGAGTTAAGAACAGGCTGAGACTGTTTTCTTCACTCCTGTTCAGAGAGTAATTCCACCAAATCCCCTACTATCACAGATATTCATGCAGTTCAGGATATTAAATTGTACACTGAAGGTGTTTGTTGTGTCATGTTCATCATTATGATGAGTAAGATTAAGCTTTTGTGGGGCCTCAGAAGCTGACACAGAGTACTGGGATCTGTGAAATGGCCAGCGTTGATTGGAGACACTGGTGAAACCACGGCTTTAAAAGGCCACACACGTTCTCTCCCATTGGTGCAGCTGCTTGTTTCATTTCTGACCCACAAGCTCATCTGTTCTCATAGGACATTTTATGTTTCTATCACTCATCATAATTTCATTGTGTAAGCTTGCATGGCTTATGTTTTATATAATTCAAAGAACAGGATTTAGTTAATTCTATGTTTCTAAACTGTTCTAATGAAGGTTAACTCCAATCAGCATTATTTTTACAATTTACTTACACTGATTATAAGTCACATTGAGGTTTCAGTTTCAACTTGATGCTTCATAACTGAGAGGAAAGTAAGAATCAGAAAAATAAATTATTTTCAGAGAGATTGTGGTGGGGGTTCATATTGACTTCGTGTAGGAAGATAGGGTCATGTAATGGTTGAGAGCACAGGCTTTAGAGTGTGACAGACTTGGTCTAGGTTCTCATTCTGTTCTTTCTAACTAGGTGACTTTGGGGAAATCTTTAACCCTTCTCACCTTGAATTTCTATGAATTGAAGTAACATTTTCTAAGCAATCTTAGTAGCATTAAATGGGAAAAAATTTCAAGTCAAGCATTTGACATAATACCTAACACATAATAAACATCCAATGTATTATTGTTGTTATTTTTAATGCTGCTGTTACTGGCATGACTTATGTAATTGTTTGATTTCTTTTCTCTTGGTTTTTGAATAAGAATTACTTGAAAATGGCTTGAAAGTATAGATAGATCAGCATACCTTGACTATTGTTATCTAAACATAACGGAGTCCTTGTTAAAGATTATATAGGCTAGAGTTGAATTTAGATTCTTGATATATTTGTTATCTAAATGAGATTGCCATTAAATCACCATGATTACTTTTCTTTATAAATTATGAAAATTAGAACAGTAGTACAGGCTCATGTTTAAAACAGAAATCTGACCCAAGATTATATAGTTTGCAAAACTGATACTATTTGTTCTCTTTAGACTCAGGGGGTATAATACGAAAATGCGTAGAATTTTTAGATCTTAAACAGACTGTAGAGATAATTCTAATTCAATCTCCTCATCAAGTGAGGAAATTCTGTAGGAAAAATTAATTCAGCCAAGATTCTTTATTTGTGTATAAGATGTAGAGATAGGAAATGATAGCAAATGATCATTATTTTTTACCATTCCCCCCAAATTTTTTATGATTGTTATAAAGGAATAGAAATTTTAGAGGTGTCATCATTGTCTTTAACTATTGTGTGAACGTTTTTTCTTAATATTATTATCTTCTATTTTTAAATTGATATATAAGTTTACCTTGTTTCAATGTGCATAGTTTGCTTGCTCATTCCCATGCTACTGGGCATTTGAATTATTTCCTACATTTTTCCTTCCTTGTTTCATTTTGTTTTTTGGCATCTTGAGATAGGATCTCACCAAGTAGTTCAGCCTGGTCTTGAACTCTTGGTGATCCTCCCTCTTCATGCTCCTCAGTGCAAGGATTACAGGTGTGTACCACCATGGCCAGCCACTTTTTTCCTTCTTACATCAGAGTGCTATGTACATTTTTTAATTTTGATTTTAGAAAAAAATTTTTTGAGACAGGGTCTCACTATGTAGGTCAGGCTGGCCTTGAACTCACTATATATTCCAGGCTGGCCTCAAAATCATGGCAATCTTCCTGCCTCAGCCTCCCAGGTGCTGGAATTACAGGTATGTGCCACCACGCCTGGCTCATCACATTTTTTAAATCGTGTTACTCCCTTGCATTCCCTACATTATCCCTGATTAGTTGCTAGGGGACTACACCCACAAATTAATCAAGGTAGAGTATTAAATTCTCCTTACTAGTTTTTTGGCTCAAATTCACTTCAGAGTAGCTTACTATTGGAAACCCAAATACTAGAGACTTGATTATACATGGTCTACTTCACTTTAAATGTAGGTCTTCTGGCTGCTTTTTATTAAGCAAAAAATCTTTTACCTGCCTGGCGTGAATTACAAAGAGAGGTTTTCAGGTAAAAAAAGAAAAGACCATTCAAGAAGGCCCTTAGAAAATTTGACAGCTTTTTGATTTCTCCTAAGTCTATTTTTCAGAGTGTTGTTTTGTTATAGCGTATCAAGTATATTCCAATTGTTAAAAGTAAAGATAGAACTATTTTCAAAATAAGTATACATTTTTAGATTAACCATAAATAGACTTCTTTCTATCATTTTAGATGAGAACATGTTTTGGGCTTAACAGCACATAATTCTTTTGTTATAGAGATCCTCTTTTATTTCTCAGACCTTAAATACAGATGGGAGTTTCTGTCTTTATAGCAGTCCTGCTGCTGGAGACAATTCAGCCTTGATGGGAAGAAAGTCTTTTGGCTACATGGATGGAGAGCCATGATACAAGGCCATAAGGATGAAAATGGAGAGAAGAAAAGGAAAACTATATGGGCCTCAGGATAGGGCTCTATAACAAAGATGAGCCTCCCTGCAGGCCGCCACTTGTTGTGAGGGTAGAGGCCTCTTTAAAATTCTCAAGGAAATGAGTTATTTTGGTTTTGGTATTAGTTTTGGAAATGGTAATAAATTCACATAGATCAAGAGTTCAAATGAAAACACTCCTTCAAACTGTGGTCCCTAGCTGCTCCATGCCTCTCCTGAGAGGCAACCGGTGTTACTTATTATGAGATTATCCTATAAGAGGTGTTTTGTACAATGTGGGTATACATACACATGTACGTTTCTGTGCGTACACACACATATTTTTTCCTCTTCTCATCCTTAATGACTAGTTGCATAATATATATGCTATTCTACACCTTCCTTCCCCCTTCCAACACTAAATCTTGGAAATTATTCTATATTCATTAGAAAGCTTTTGCATTCTTTGAAAATACTTTCAAAATGTCATGGTTCTACACTGAGTGAAAGTAATTCTTAATCATAGATTAGGTCTAAGGATTAGGCTTTTACATAATAGAATCAATAAGTGTTGGATGAATGAAGGAAAGAGTGAATTATTTTATTGTAAAGTACAGATAGAAAGAGGCAGAAGGGGGGCTGGGGATTTAGCTCAGCGGCAAAAGCGCCTGCCTGGCAAGCGCAAGGTCGTGAGTTCGGTTCCCGGTACCGGAGACAAAAAAAAAAAAAAAAAAAAAAAAAAAAAGAGGCAGAAGGCTAAGAATTGACTGAAGCTTTGAGACAAATAATCTAACACTGGCCTTAACCCTGAATGACATCACAAAGAACCTGTCTGTTGTAAGAAAGCATCAGTACTTCTTTTTAAAGTTTCATATTAGGAGAAGTCAGTAAAAAGAGACACCTTTGGAATTGGGGAAGAATAGTTATAGGTGACCCCTATACTTGAGGAGTCAGGAGATACCATGTTTCCATTTGGATTGGGGTTCTGATCAGGGAACAAGTGGATTCAGACTCTTCAAATATAAAAGAAGGGGGTTAGCGTACACTATTTCTTTTTTTTTTTTTTGGTTTCGGTTTTTCTCCGGTACCCAGAACCGAACTCACGACCTTGCACTTGCCAGGCAGGCGCTTTGCCGCTGAGCTAAATCCCCAGCCAGCGTACACTATTTCAATGAACCTTCTAGCTCTAATACACATTTCTAATTCTACCATTTCCTTCCTGATCAACAATTTGCACATTTGTCATATTTCAGTGTCTTCAGTATATCTGCTGTATTTGTAGACTTTTAAAATGAAGTGTCCTTTCTGTGAGATAATAAAAAGACACAGGAAGTATTGAGGAAAATGTGACTGCTAAGATTCCAAGATTTAAACTGTAGAAAGTAGTTCACAGTGATTACATTCCTCACAAAAACTGATTGGCCAAACCATAAGATAAAGGCAGACTTACGGAGATAGGACCGCAAAACCCACACACACTTTTTTTTGAGACAGGGTAGTCCAGGCTGGCCTTGAACTCACTATGCAGCCTAGGCTGGCCTGAAACTAGCAGTGATCTGCTTGCCTCAGCCTCCCAAGTGCTGAAATTATAGGTGTGCACCACCACATTGGGCAGCAGAGACAGTCTGAAAGGAATTACACCTTTTATGAGATAAATGAAAGTACTACAATAATAATAAAGTTACTCAGTATTAAGTATAATTGTTGATAATATATTTATATATTTTTAAATATTTAATTAAATCTAATAAAATAATATCTAATAGTAAATACAATTCATAGTAAAATAATTTTTTTCTCTTTTTTTTAGTTAAGTATGAAAATGAAGCTAGTAAATACTGGGACACATTTTATAAGATTCATAAGAATAAGTTTTTCAAGAATCGTAATTGGTTGTTGAGGGAATTTCCTGAAATTCTTCCAATTGATCAAAAAACTGAAGATAAGATGGAAGAACTATCATGGCATGTCTTAGGAACTAACACTGCAAACTCTTTCTCAAGAATGTCAGAAGAAAAAAACCATTATGAGAAAAGTTCTGGTTCATCAGATGGTCAAAGCAAAAGAGAGTCTGGTTGTCCCAGCCTAAACTCCAGAGAGCATGGAAAAGGACTCCTGAAGACTCAGCTATTTCCTGGTAGCCATGCCACTTTCCGAATACTAGAGGTACTGTGCTCAAGGGATGAAAGCAGGAAACAACAAAAATTTAGTCTACATTCCACATTATTTGGCTAACGGTCCAGATTGTTTAGGTGAAAAATGGTCAAATCTAATTAAGTACATGCACAGGATATTTTCACACATAAATAATATTTAAGGGCCTCAGCTCTTTAATCAGGCCAAGTTTTTAAGTTTTGGCTCTCATTTTGTTACATTTTTTCTTTTAATTTGTCTCTTTTCAGTTGTACGTTAAGGGCAATTTTGAGTACTGATAAAGTTTTGGTCTAAATTTTTACTCTATCTAGTATTACCACTTTATACGTGAAATAGAAATCAGTGAGATGTATAATTAATTTGCTATAATCTAGTGTACAGCTTGGTTTCCTATTTTTGAAACTAAACTGTCTTCCCGGTTATAACAGTAAAACATGTTGTGCACAGAGAATTTGCAAAAAAAAAGAGATAAATTACCCACAATCCCACATAGAATTTAACTACTGTTTACCTTTTTCTTCTATTGATTCTATTATATATATATTAAATTTGCTTATATTGTAGATGTATTGGGGGTTTTACTTTGTTTCTTTTTAATTTGGTATCATAGGAAATTTTTCTTCTCTTTAAAAATTCTCTGTAAATGACTATAAAATATTTTACCATGTGGAATACTATAATTTCATGATCTATTCCCATGCTACTGGGCATTTAAATTGTTTCCAAGTTTTCTGCCACAAAATGTCTTTGAATATAGCTCCATTTTTTTAATTGTCAGGTTAGATTTACTATATTATAATTTATGAAAAATTTTAATACTTTTTATTTTTGTCTTTTTGAGACAGTGTCTTGCTATGCAATTCAGGCTGGCCTTAAGATCACTTTGTAGCCCAGGCTGGTCTCAACCTCGCAACGATCCTTCTGCCTCAGCCTCTTGAGTGCTGGGATTACAGGCGTATGTCATAATACTCTTAAACATGGACAAATTGCTTTCTCGGAAGTTATGCTAATACCAGTACATTTCTATTGGATCATACCCTTACTGGTTAGAAAATTCTTACTTTATTTTAGAGTTTTTCACTTTGCTAGACAAATATGCAACCTTGTTTTAATTTACATTTCTTCTATTACTAAATAGGTCATATCATTCTTGAATATTTAGGAGCGATTTATACTTTTTTTGGAATTCTGTTCATTTATTTCCTTTGCTTGTTTTTTTTAATTATTTCTGCCCTTTATCATATTTATCACAAATATTTTTTTCTCAGTGTGTTGGTCACCTTTTAATTTGCCTTATTTGGGATTTTGTGTGTATGTATTTTAAATGTTTGCATAGTCAAATCTTTCACTGTTATTCTTGTGATTTATCTGCTTACTGTTGAGTTAAAAAGCTCTACCATACCTGGAGATGCAGTAAGCTTGTTTTGTAAGTAGAAAATCTGACATTATGAGGAAAATTTAATGCATTCATGATAATTTGTTTAATCTCTTGATTTTAGGTTGGCTGTGGTGCTGGAAATAGTGTTTTTCCAATTCTGAACACCTTGCAGTAAGTTTTAGAGTTTTCTTCTACATAATTTTACATATTTAAGGGATGTTGAGAAATCTTGAAAATATCTCATCATGTATATGCCAGTAATGTTTTTAATTCCCATATAAACAGTGACTAAAGCACATTTCAAAAGAAGCATCTCAGTCTTAGTGCTGATTTCATGTGAACTCAGAATTACTCTGAAGATGGTGTTTCACAACTATGAATTATCCACCTTGAGATTCAAGGAAAATTCTTTTAAGATTGTGTTTAAGTGGATGAGAGAATAAGAAAAAAGAAAAAGAGTTCATCCTTTCAATGAGATTTCAACTCACTGCAGTGAGTTGCCCAGTTTCAGAGGCTGTCTATTCCTCCTGGATACTTAGATGCCATTTTACACATGGAAATCTGAGTTTAACGCTTATACTTAATACTCATTTTATTTTGTAATCATTTCTGGAGTAGCACCCAGTATAAGACCTTCATATCTGGGTAAGGTTGTATACACCTGTAATCCTAGCACTTGAGAGGCTGAGGCAAGAGGCTTCCTTCGAGTTCTAGGCCAGCCGAGGCTACAGAGTGAGTTCAAGGCCAGCCTGAACTACATAGGAAGACCCTGGCCCAAAAAACCAAACAAAACAGACTTTCGAGTGTCAGACCATTGTATCTAGGCTTGAAATTGTTTGGAAGTGGCAGCAACTAACCCTACGACTCAAAAGAGTAGAAATAAATGATATTTTCCTGATTTCTTGATGTGTTTACCATCTCATCTCTTATGTTTTAGATTTCCATGATGAAAATGATACACCTCACAAAACTTTCCAAGCAACTTTTACCTGTGCTGATGTGTCAGGTTTTTTTCTTTTGTAAAGTTTATACACAGTAGCTTTCACATCTTTTTTCCATTATAAAATCAGCATGAGCACATTGCAGAACATTTCCACTTGAGGAAAGGGGTAGTGGGAAAGTCATGCATTGTCCCCTTTATCTTGACAGAGCCACTGATGGAATTTTCATTCTCTTTGCAAAATTTTTAATGTAATCTTTTAAGTTTTTCATGTAAAGCATTTGAAGAAGCAAAGAATATTAAAATGAATTCCCATAAGCACTCTACCTTGATTCAACAATTTTTGACATAATGTCAGCATCATGACACTTTATCTTTGATTATACATGGTGCATCTCCAGAATGTCAGGACATTCTCTGATACTTTTGTAAACCTAGCATAACAAGCAATGACTTGGTAATATTTTCTAATAACTAGTTAAAGTGTCCAGATCCTGGTAAACTTGCAGTTCTAAATGGCCTTTCTTTTTCTATGTTTTTTATCTTTGTTTTCTCTTTCCCAGTTTCTGAGCTAAAAGTTTCTCCTCCCTTATACCACATAGCCAGGTTCCTTCACCCCAGTGATAAAGGAGCTTCTAACATACATGCGCATACTACATTGGCAATTGTTATGTGTTACTTTATGACTAACTTCAAGGTATTGTTTAGCGTGTCATTTCTTTATTCCTTGCCTCTCCAGCCATGTCTTATATTCACTGAAGTTGAGAGCATATTTTATCCTAATCTGATTTTCCAGATTGCTAAACAGTATAACATAGATAGTTAGAGCTCCAACTGTATTGGCTATTTAATCTCTGATTGCTCACTTGTTAGTTACATTTTTCCCTCTGTACTTATCCCTCCAACTAATAATGTGAGCTCTTGGCTTCTCACGTCTGACTTTCTTCTTGGCTTATGTCTTTCTTTGCCTCATATCTATGTTTTAGAAATCACGGGAGACCAATAACTGAGATAATTAATTCACTTTAAAATCCAACCAGTGATTAGCCTTCCAAATGGAGGAATAGACATTTTTCCCACCCAAGAAATTATGTTTTATTGCTTCTCAAGAGTACAGGATTAATATTTTTACATTTTTAGAATATTTTATCATAATTAGGCCTCTGGAATGGAGAGGTCAGATCATTCTCCAAGGATCGTTTAATTCTTAAGCCCCCTGCCAAGAGAGTGTTTGGTGATGTGGTAGTAGTAGTGTATTTACACCTGTTTGCTGGGAAAAGGGCCAAGGCAGTCAGCTGATTTTACAGAAGGTCACTAGAAAGTCATTGGTTGGTCATAAGACTTCAACTTGGGCTGCTGATGTAGTGGGAACTCTGTCTCAGAGGTCATAACACCACCCTGGCAGGACACATGGCAAATGGCACATGCTTTCCTTACTAGACTGCTCTGTGTCTGGCTGGTATTGAGTAACGACCCAAAAGTAGACTGCAGACTTTTTATAATAACCTACATGTAGCAGACTCCAGAGAAGCATTCTGAGTCAGATACAGGGTTTTAGAGGATCATGTTAGTTTTAAGTTGCTGAAAGACAGAAGCAGTTCTCCTTTAAAAGGAATAATAACAATTACAATAATGACTAATATTTACTGAGTGCTTACTGTGAGTTGGGCAACTTTCTAGAAACTTTACTATGTGAATTTACTTGTTCCTCACAACCAAAGATGCCATATTTTTCCATATTTTAAAGGCAAGGAAACAGAAGTACAGAGAGAGTAATTATCTCTCGGTCATACAACTAAAGGGTAGAGCCAGGAATCAAACCTTCAGCAGTCTAATGGCAGAGCCTTGTCTTTAGCCATTGTGCTGTGTAATGCTGTATGCATCAGAGTGGTAACTGAGAACATTTCAAACACGTGTGGCCACCTAGCAAATTACAAGTCACAATGTGGATTCCATGGGAAACAGCAGAGGTATGTGCTAGAATAAAGTAACTGGTTTTAATGAGATTGATGAAAAAGACCAAGTAGTACAAGTTTTAACTTGGACTCAGTAATGGTTAATTTTTCATAACCAAGTCCTATTCAGACTTGAACTTGTTTAGACAGGTTTTAAATTGAATGCAAGTCCCTCAGGCCACAAAATGAAGTATATGTGAACATAGTATTCATTAAGTTGCCTTTAAGTTCCTAGGTGAAATTTTGTTAAATCATATTTGTGTTTGTATTGGATATTTACTTAGAAGTCCATCTTGTCTGAACTGCCTCTTGAATCAAAGTAGAGGTTCTAATTTTGTGCCTCAAGGCCCGCCTCTATGTCCTGCCATGTTCCACTGTGACCTCTCAGAATCATTTCTGCCTCTCATCAATGGATCATGACTTACCCCTAATCCCCGTGCTTCTTCCCCTCATTCGGCAATACCACCCGCTTTCAGAACTTTTAGGACCTACCTCTTCGGGTGCTGTCCTTCTCCACACCCTTATAAAAGCTATATAAAGCTAGGCATGTTTTCAGGGTAACCATAAAATCTGTAAGAGCCAAGACCATACCTAAATTGCTGGGTAATGACGTTCTGACTGCTTTGTGTGACTCAGATATGATTCTGTGCAATATGAAGAAAGGGTTACTTGATAGCAGCATACAGAGGATGATCAGGAAGGACACTGACCAAAGAACTCGAAGCATGCTCCTGCCCGTGAATAACCAGGGACCGGCATTGTTACTGAATTCCAAGTAAAGACCAAACAGAACATGTTTAATTTTGGAAGAAACTAATTAAAATTAGTTAAGATTTTCATATGGATAAACACTCCCCTGAAAAACAAAATTGAATTTATTTACATATTGTAAATAAAGCAACTGAGTCTTGGAGATGTTAAATCAGATTCATGGAGTTAATAAATGTCAAATCCATGATTGCAAAACAGATATATTTGGTTCCAAGTTCTGTATTCTTACTATTTGATTACAGTTTTATTTATCACTTTGTATTCTAATAAGTATATATGGGTACAGTGGTGCATGCCTATAGTGCCAGCTATTGGGCTAAGACAGGAGGAGTCCTTGAGCTCAGGAGTTCAAGTCCAGCTAGACAACATAGTGATTCCTCATAAATGCATACGTGTGTGTGTCTCTACCCTCTTAGAGCATTAGAACCTCTGTGAAAGGCCTAAGAACCAAATGAGTTGGACAGAAAGAAAGAGGAATGAAGGGACACAGGCGCTGAAGAGTCCCTGGAGAAGAGTAGAGCTTAGCTAAGCTAAGAGGAGCTGCAGGACTGGGGAGAGGCAGAGATCTTAGAAAGGAGGCTGAGGGAGTAGTGCAGGAGAATGGCCTTGGGGATTTCCCCGTGGGCGTGCGATGAGATACAAGGCAGAAGGGGCCAAGGAAAGGTGAGCCTTAAAAGTAGGGCTAGAGTTACCTGTAATTACTAAGTAATCAAGACAGTGCTGGTTCAGAAAGGTACCCACGCACCAGCCCAGAAAATAATGCTCAAAAGGAAGAAATGATGAGCCAAGTGTCGTCTAAAATTCTACTAAAGAAGTACTTACCAATATGTTATAATCACAGTTGCTTTCTTTCTCTAATTTGAACAAGACGGAACTCTAGATTTAGGTCTTTCTTCCATTTTCATAGGAATACTCCAGAATTCTTCCTTTATTGTTGTGATTTTGCCCCTGGAGCTGTGGAGCTTATAAAGGTATGCCTTATGTTTCCTTTAAAGAGAGTCCATATAAAAATAATTTATTGCCTTTAAAGTGACTATTTTGAAATGTTTCTGGATCAAATGTTATTTGTAGCCATTTTCAACTGAACTTCTATAATTTCTAAGAATATCAACAACAATTGATGCTTAAGATACTAATTGCACTAAAACAATAGAAGTTGTTTTGAATGTTAGCGTTCTCAAGGGATTGGTAGGCCTAGAAAGGCCAGCACCACACAGGAAGGGACTGACCTACAAAATTCAGACTATACCTGCCCATGGCTAACCTTGCTCTAAACAACTTACTTAAGTTTAGAGGAAACCAGTTACAATTAATCAGGATTTTCAGATGCATAAAGAATTCCCCACCCCCAAAGTTGAATTTTTAATGAAGTCCTACAAGAAGATCTTATTCATATTTGGATCTCTAAAGCTTTACACACTGTCTAAATGTAGTAAGCACTCATTAAATTAAAATCTTTGAAATAAAAATATATGGGACACTCAGGAGGCTGAAGGCAGGAGGAGCAAGACCAGCCTAGGCTACATAGTGAGTTCAAGGCCAGCCTGGACTGCACTGCACTACCCAGAAAACAAACAAATCTGGGAAACTGCATGATGGTGTCTAACCCGTAATTCTGGCAACTCTAGAAGTCTGAGTCAGGGGGATTGCAAGCTTGAGCCCAGCCTGGGAAACATAATGGCTTAGCTAGATCGTATCTCAAAAAATAAATAAGTACTAGAGATATATGTCAGAGTAAAGATCTTGGGTTTAATCCCCAGTACAGCAGAAAAAAAAATTCTGGAAAATATTTGATACAAATTTTAAAATGTCTTAGACTATAAGGAAAGCAGTGCATAATCTGGGCTTGTTGCACAAATCTTGAATGCCAGTGAGCGTTACCGTAGAATGGAAAAACAGTTAAACAAATGGAAAATGTATGGTGAACACATAAATAAAGTAAAACTTTTTAAAAAGTAAATACAACTTTAATTTCTGATAACAAGAGTAATAATTATTCATTGCATACATTTTCCAAAATAATAAAAAGCCTAAAGAGGAAAAAAAAATACACATGTAATCATACTTCTTAGGGTGAATCACTGTTATTGTGTTGATATATTTCCTTCTGATGTCATTTCTGTAGACAAATTGTGTATGTTGTTACTTTAATGCAATTTAAAAAATTATAGCCTTATTGAAACAGTTCACATACCATCTCGTTTAGTGTATTTACACTTGTGCAACCATCTGCATGATCTAATTGTGATTATATAGTATAAGGTATTTGTATTTTGAAGCAAAAGTAATGTGGGGAAAGTGATGGGAGAATCAAGGATCAGGCAGTGGCTCTCGAACTATGCAGGGTGGGCAGCGGCTGCACTCCTCGGCTTTTCAATCTGCACAGGGGCTGTAAAGAATATTTGTTACCAAGTCTGTGTTAGGCTTAATTTTTAGGGCAGTCTGAAATAAGCTGAAAATAAATTCTGAAAGAATACTGAACTGGAAATAAAGTACATTTAGATTTACAGAGGAAAGGCTATTGGGAGAAAAGTAAAAATTTGACCTTTTTATGTTAAAAATTTTGGGAATTCTGCTAACTCCTTTTTATTGGCTTTGTGTTCCTTGATAATGACAGTCACACTCGTCCTACAGAGCCTCGCAGTGTTGTGCCTTTGTTCATGATGTGTGTGATGATGGTTCCCCCTACCCTTTTCCGGACAGTAGCCTGGATGTCGTTGTCCTCGTCTTTGTGCTCTCTTCTATTCATCCTGACAGGTAAATCAAGACAAAAGGGCAAAGCAAATGAGTGAAGCTCCTCTATAAGTAGTGGTTTTTAGAGCTATCAAAGCAAAAATGACAATTCTTGAATTAATTATTTAGTGAACTACATTATGTATAATATGCGGCCTTTTAAATGCAATTTTTCTTTTCTTCAGACTTTAAGAAAGAAACTGGTCAAACTACTTTATTAGTGAGCTTTCTGTCACTGTCAGAATGAAGTGAGTATATTCTGGCAAGACATTTACCTATTAAAAGTGACAGTGCTTCATGGAAATTACAAACTCAGAGCAGCCTAATAGACTCCCAAGAGGGAAATTGTTCTTGGTGATCAGAAACAAACATCTTTGATTTAGTATTTTCCTGAATGTTCATGAATGTGGGCTATGGATCTGTTCAACTTCATGCAAGTCTGTTGATGGGCTTTTAAATTTTTGTTTTAGAGAAGTCCAGTAAGGAATTAGGGGTTATAGCAATTTACCAGGTTATCCTTGTACTTTTATGATCTAAGATGGGCCTAGTGCCATTACATTTATATATATGTATAGATAGATAGATATAGATATAGATATTTATAGATATATATAGATAGAGAGAGAGAAAGAACCAAAAAAAGGTATACATACTTTAGCCGTTTGCCATACTCATAAATGTCTGGTAGCTAATAGCCACCACTTTGAGCACCTCTTGTAATTGTGGAGGCCAAAGGTAACTTGTATGAATCTCATGATATCTCAATAAATAAGCACTAAAATATTTATACAAGTTTTTCTTTTCCTGATATATACTTTTTTTGGCAGAAAAAAATATATATGGGGTGTGTGTATGTTTGTGTGTGTGTGTTAGGAATCAAATCCAGGACCTTGTGCATGCTAGGCAAGTACTGTACCACTGAGCTACATCTCCAACCCCCTAAATATTTATGACTTAAAAATTTAAGTTTTGGGCCAGGGATATAGCTCAGTGGCACAAGCGCTTGCCTGGCAAGCACAAGGTCCTGAGTTCGATTCCCGGTACCAAGAAAAAAAAGTTTGCAAATGTTTTAAAACTATAAAGGCAGTTTTTCTTTTGTTTGTTTGTTTTTTGTTTTTGTTCCGGTACCAGGAATCAAACTCACAACCTTGCACTTGCCAGGTGGGCGCTGTGCCGCTGAGCTAAACCCCCAGCCCCAAAAGGCAGCTTTTCTTTAGAGAGGAAAGAAACAGATGTTACCAGCTATTAAAGTGATAATGTCCCATAAAATATTGCCATCTTCTGTATATTAAAACATATGTATGGTGTCAGTATGTGCTTTTACAAAGTTTCTTAAAATTGAGTTTTCACAATCCCCTGTAGGGGATTTAGACCTGGATCAATAATTTCTGTTTGAGTGTGACACTTTCCCACACAAACTAACTTACCATGTGTTTCTTCCTTTGCAATTATACTAATGCCTTTCTTTTTATATCCCATTCAGAGATAAGCACTTTGCTGGGAAGAACAAGTTAGGTTTCCAAATAAATCCAAAACAAGCTTATATTTGTAATTTATCAGGTGCCATGAAGCTACCTTTTCCTCTGTTTCTTTTCTGCTAATCTGTTCATCTATTGACATTGTTCAGGTACTCATAGAAAGATGTCATCAATGTATTTTGTTTCCTTATATGAGTAGTTAAAAGGATGGTGTAGGTGGATAAAGAACAAGATTTCCTATTTGGCACCCGTAACAGGAAACATACAATTCGAAATAAGACTGCAAAAAGGCTATTTGAAATTAATTTAGATAATGTATTTTCTCATGATTTAAACTGAATGTTAAAGTGAAGGGGAAACATGTCTTAGGAAGATTGCATTTATAGTACCGTATTTCCTTCTGTTTATTATGAAATAAATTCAGATGTATCATGTTAATATCACTTTCTTACTTACATGGAACTGATTTAAAAATAAGGTGAGTAATATGAGTATAGTGGCATGCACTTGTAGTTCCAGCTACTCAGGAGGCTGAGGCAAGAGAATCATTGCAGCCTGGGAATTTGGGAACACCTTCAACAACATGATGAGACCACATCTGTAAAGAAATAAACAAATTAAATTAAGATGAATGAATAGAAGGCAGGTGACAGTAAGTCAAAAGGCACAGCAGTGTCTTTAGGATCATTTAGGACCATAGTAGTGGATTGCCCCCCAGGAAAATTCTAGAAAAGTGTAGAAGCCATACAAGAATGGCATCTTGGAAAATCTAGGTTCAAATAATTGGCGAGGAAGTTAGCTAGACCCTGACTGTGGGGGTTCCAGCCTACACGGCAATAAGATGTAGGAGGCTACAAAAGAAAAGCTAACTTGTATAAGGTACTTAGTATAAATCCAAACATAGACAGTCAACAAATACTCCTTTTTAAAATGTCTTCTTTCTCCCTTCGTCTCCCTCCATCCAGCGGTAGGTGAGGATAGCAGAGTAAGCCAACTAGAAGGAAGAAAGAAAAGGGTCTTTTTGCCATTTTGTCTTTCCCACCTTGTCCCCAGCCCTGTCCAACCTGCAAGTCTCAGTTACTGGCTTTGGAACTATGGTCTCAAACAGGATAAGAAGAATCAAGAAAAGTGGCTCCCTTTTCCTTGCCTTTGTCCACAAACCCAGGCATTAAAGGGTAGTTGCGGGAAAGCACTTGCAGAAGGGGTTGGCTACATTTTGAAGTATATTTTATTTTTCTACATTTTGGTTTCATTAGTGTTTTGCTCAGAGTTACAAAGATGTTGCTGTGTGCATAAAATTTGTCCTGAGAGTGATTGTTTGAGGGTTCAAATATGGTTTTCTTTTTTGCCAAAGCCTAAGGATATAAGCACAGTATGAATATGGTCTATAATAATCAAGGACAAGAAACTTCTCCTTTTCTGTTTTATTTATGTCCCAGTTTTCAGCAAGAACTTTCTACATACTCATACTATCTCTTTGTCATATTTCTTTCTTGCTTTCATTTTCTCACTCTCTATACTTCCTTCATAATGTGACATAATCTGGCTTCCACCTTGCTATTCCACAAAATAGCATTTTAATTGGAAGGAATTTATACATTATCTAATTTAAACTCCTGATTTTCAAAATAAGAAGACCTCAGCAGCTTTAAGTAGCATGGATAAAGAGCGAGCAAGGGCTTAGCACAGAAGCTGCCATTTACCATTCTCTCTTCATGGCAAACGTTGATAATAAATTTTGTACTCTGTCATTCCCAGTAAGCACCATGCGTCCTCCTCATTAAAGCTCTGCAGGCAGCTAATGCCAGTCACTCAGCATTGATATGAGAACTACATCTTTGCCATCCTTGGCCCTTAATCACACAAGGCTATGAACTTATAACCAAAAATAACAAATCAAGGACAGTTATAAGGGGTTGTATTTGACCAAAAGCCATACAAGTAAGAATAAACGGTAAAGGAAGAAAGCAAGACTTCTCAGTATTGAGTTAGGAATTGAGGAGTAAATTAAATAGGAAGAAAGTGGGGGTGGGGGATTTCTTTGAGAGGAAACCTGTGGGCAATGGCACAGGCTGCCCAGAACCAATCACTTAACAGTTGGAGTAGAAGAGGTGCTTTAGGTTATGAAGTAGAGAAGATACTGATAGGATTTAGTAGGGTCAGGAGTAATCTTAAGAGATCTACTAAGACATAAAGTTTTGCCGTATGGATTGAAGTCATGAAAGTTTTTGAGCAAGGAGATGATTTGACAAAACCATCATTTTAGGCAGAATAACTCATTGGTAATATACCAGAAGAACTGATAGGAGAATAATGAAGCATGTTGGAAGGGAATTCTGCTTCTAGGCCCGGAGAGCTAGGGATTTGTATTAAGGGAGTATCAGTGGGAAACAAAGACAGTATCAAAGATGGCATAAAAGGAAAAAAGAGAAGAGAGAGGACATAGAATTTGATGACCACATGGCCTGGAGGACAGAGGAAGAAAAAAGTAATCTCTTCTTCCTGAGGTGAATGGTAGTATCTTTGAACTAAACAAACCAGAGGAATAATGAGCTAATTTGGAGGAAGGATGGTCCCTGTTTCAATATGTACCATTTGGGATGACTCTGACATGGATTTTGTTTTGCAAAGAAAATGAAGCACCTTCATTTATTTTAAGTCTCCCTCAGAACCATTGTGCTTTGCTCTAAGTATCAGCAAACATCTTTTTTAGTAGTTGAGCTTTTGATGCCATGCATCAAGCTCTGTAAAGTGCCCAGTCTGGTCATTTGGGTGATTTCTTGAAACTCTAAGCTTTCTTAATGTGGTCATTTAGGAAGTTGGTGTCTTTTTTTCCTTCTTTACAAACTGTTTTTGTTTTTGTTGCCTTTACATTTATGGTTTAGATTTCTTTGGCCATATTGAGCCTTTTTTATTTTGTCTTGGTGAGGTTCAATCTGGCATATCACACAAAATTGCCACAATGAAGGTATCTTACTTTGTTTTCAAAAGGATGCAAGGGGTGGTCAACCGACTGTCTAAGTTACTGAAGCCTGGGGGAATGCTGCTCTTTCGGGACCATGGAAGATACGATACTGCTCAGCTTCGTTTTAAAAAGGGTAATAGTATATTCACTTTGGGGTTATTTTTCATGTGCTTTAAAGAATGCTTTGTTTGTATTTCATGTCAAGTTGTTTAGATTTTTATTGTTTTATTAAGGAATACCAAGGTTTTTTTCATGTATTATTTTTTAGGGCGTTGTTTATCTGAAAATTTTTATGTTCGAGGAGATGGTACCCGAGCCTATTTCTTTACAAAAGGTATGCTAATCTACAAGAGGGAATAATTAGCTGTGAATACTCTCTTTGGTTATTATTTGCAAGGAGAACTAAAAAGCTATAAAAATGAGACTTCAGCAGTTGATTAAACATCAAATGTCTTCATACTTTGATGCTTATAATCTACATAAAAATTTTGAAAGTGGCCTTCTTGCCTTTTAATCTTTTTCCAGTTAAAACTGCTTTAAAGAGTCACTTGTCTCACTCTCATACTCAAGTGAAGGTAGAGTATAAAATTTTGGAGATGTTATTAGCCTGGATACGAAAATAACTGATAATGTAACAAAGTCAAATGAGAATATTAGTTATCTCTGGTCAGTTTCTCATTTTTAAAAAAGCATTTCTGAGAATACCAAATGACAATACGTGCATTCAAAGATTTCCCCAAACTTATATAAATGTGCCATTTTGGGACTCTATAAACCAACAAAAGCTTAGAGAGGAGGCACCTTTTAAGATGCCAGTAATTTTGCATAACTGCATAATGCCTGCTATGTTAGCCATTTATGCTGGAGATACTTCTGTGTCTGCGAAGAAGCCCACTTGGTTTCACAGGTTTCCTTCACCCAGTTGTGTTAGGCCTTGTTTCTTATTATAAATGAAATTTGCATGTTTAATCATTCTCTCAGTATTCTATTGCTCCTTATCTCCTCATCCCCTGTCCCATGTCCTGTCTTTGCCATTTTTGTCTCAAAGGGGAAGTCTGTCGTATGTTCTGCAAGGCCGGATTAGATGAAAAGCAAAATCTGGTTGATCATCGCTTACAAGTTAATAGGAAAAAACAAGTGAAAATGCATCGAGTGTGGATTCAAGGAAAATTCCAAAAACCATTGCACTGAACTTAAAATAGCTCCTAATTGATATTTTTCACTCCTTTCTCATGACTGAAGACGAAAAACTAGAAGACTCTGCCCTTTAAGGATCCTAGAAAATCTTTTGTTTCTCAAAAGACAATGAGAAGAAAATAGAATTTGTGTTTCTTGATGTTCTATCATGAGTTAGCTCTTTGTGCATTTTAAGCATATAAGTTGTTCTGGAGAAGTATACCATTTTATTGTGTGTTCAAAACTTGATATGTGCAAGCTTGTGTATCTAACCATTTTATTTGTTCTTTGAATTTTATAAGCATTCAACTAAATTTCTGATATAAGTCATACTTTGGACAAACCATAAGCTGCCACACTTTAGAAGTAGGAAAAAACCATCTTTATTTATATACACATTTATCATCTTCTTTATTTAAATCACTTCACAAACAATTGAAGTCTTCCTCATTGTCATCCAACAGCAGAGAGGCAGTAGGCATTGTCTCCAGGGAAAGTCACAAGCTCAAGATTAAAGTGTATTGTTTTTTGTCTGTTTTCCCCAAAACTTTTAATTTCTTTAATTCAGAGACTAATATCTGAAATATACTTTTAGTTTCTTTCTTTCCTAAAATTGGGAAGTATGACCCATGCTAGCGTTACTTTCAGGCTATTCTTAGCTGTTTAAGTTGTTGTAAACTCTCTTTAAGACAACTGTCAAGCTCAAGAAAATTCCTGTAGCAATTAGAAATTAACTTACTCTGTTGCATCAGTAGGACATACGTTGGCTTGCAAATTGCAGTTTGTTAAATAAAAATGGAGTTTCTAAGGTTGGTCTTTCATTATTCAGAATTTCCTGAATACTTACACTGTGCTGCATTATATGGAATAAAACAATCTATGAAGACCCAGTCCTGTCTTCAGTAAGCAGAAGTAGAGTTGAGCTGGCAAAGCAAAATATGATGATATAAAATAACATACAAATAAATGGGGAACTTACTAGCTAGTGAACTTTGATTGTGAGTCATAGAATTTGGGATGAAAGGGCATTTTCTTGAGAGGACCACCATTGGAATAATTCAATTTCAGTTGGTTTTCCTTTTTGAATCACTGGAAACTCAGCTTCCTGGAGGATATAATCAGTCATAGGCATCACTTGACAGGCTGAGACAGGGAAGCTCAATTGATGGTGCCACCAGAAAGGCTGGGGTTGGGGAAAGTTCCTCAGAGGAAAATCAAGACACTGCTACCAACAAAGAGGAGGAAAGATGCTGCTTTTTCACCATCAAAACATCGTTTAGTGATGATAACAGTAGTCGTAGTTCTAAAGAGAGCGCAGCTGTGAAAAGAAATAGGGAAGAATCAGGCTTCTGGAAGGAGGTAGGCTGCAGGCTAGCCCTTGACCTTCTGTTCTTGGACTATTGTAAGAAGATGAAGCTGTTGGGTACAGGATGTTAATGTATGAGGAACAGCAGAAAAGAGAGTTTCAGCATGTAAACAACCAACAGTGGTAGGTACGTTGACTTCTAGTTTCAACTGGAGCCATCTGAGATTGGTTGGTTTCTGTTTCATCCTCACCACACTGTTTCATAATGTGTTTAGAGGGTTTGTTGAAGAGTTGTCTGCCGAATGGAATGGAGTGAGATCAGAGGTCAGCGACAAGGACGACCACAGAAAGGTTTTGCATAAACTTGCCATGGTGGCAAGTCCTTAGAAAGACACAGTTATCAAAGTTTCTATTTAAATATGCATACATCAGTAAATGTAAAAGTCAAAATTTGCCTGAGACTCTTAGCTTAGTTTTATTTTATAATTAAAGTGTGCATTTAAAAGCCAAACTAGTCATGAAAGTATTGCATACAAGGGCAGTTGAGATAAGTTAATGTTGCTATGGGAACCCCAGCAGATCTTCTTGTGTCTCCACTTAAAAATCATGGCCCAAGGTGGTTTTAAAAACAACAGAAGGTAAAATTATTCTCACATTCTCACACATGTAAATTGTACTGTCTCTCTCAGTTCTAAATAGGAGATTCAAGCCAGCCTCTTGACTGGCACAGTAAAATTCAGCTTCATGTCTTTCCATAATATATTACAGCATGTGAGTTAACCTTTAGAAGCTTCAAAAATACATCAACCAAATTTGGACTGTGAGACACAAACTGAGCTGTCTTGGGCTCTGTCCAGCATAGACCTCCTCTTCCACACTGGCACAGCAGGGCCTTTCTTTTCCCCACACCCTTGTCCACTCAGTCTTTCTGTCTCCTACCATACCTGTGTCAACCTCCTCCTTAGGGTCCGCTGCTGAACAACAACAACCCCCAAATGTGTAGATTTACGTGGAGAATGAAAAGGGAAAGCCTATCTGGAATTTTACCTGTCAATATTAAGAAACAGTGAAGTGTTTGTTGGGCATTAGCTTAACATATTTGATAACTGCATGAAATTCTAATTTTCCCTTCCCATTTATAAGGCTGGGACCATGCAGTTAGGCAGAGTCTGATATTTAGAAATTATTCATCCAGCTAGGCATGATGTACAGCTGTAATCCCAGCACTCTGGGAGATTGAGGCAGGAGGATTGCATGTTCAAGCCTAACTTGGGCAGTTTAGCAACTTAGCTGATATCCTGTCTCAAAATAAAACAATGGAAGAAGAGCTGGGGATGTAGCTCATTGAGAAGGTCCTGGGTTCAGACCCCAGTCACACACACGAGCACACACACCATCATCATCTTCTGAGGGAGCTGATTTCAACAGGACCATTTTCTAACAGAAAAAAGATAGATTCTTTCATCTTCTAACATTACAGAAACAATGAAATATGTTAAAATACACCTCCACTTTTCTCCATTTCTAAAAATTAACTTTTGAGCATTGTCCAAATGTAAAAATTCTCACATGAAGAACTAACTACTTCAGAAGGTTGTGAAAAAGTTGAGATAACAGCCTCTATTATTACAAGTTTTGCATTTAGTATGTCACATTTTTCTGCATTGAAACATCCAGCTAACATTGACTTCTGAGAACTTATTTGCTTTGCTTGTTTCAATCCCATATGCTTTGTCTCCAAATTGTGAACACATCTTGGTTTCTATCATTATGTGATTCTAAATCATTGCTGTACTCTAGTTTGTACATGAAAATTCACCCATCTGCAGATAGCTGCCTTTCTCAGAGTAAAACATAAAGCCGTCTGAACCATCTGGGTTGGTAAACCTCAGGTAAGTTAAATTCTTGCCCTAAAACTCCTATGCTGTATTCAGAACTCATCAGAGTTCTGAAACCTGAATATATCATGCATTGTTACTTCTAATTGGACCTAATGTTTATTATGCTCCTCACAAGTACAGAGAACTTCACATTTGCATAGTTAATAGACCTCTTTCATAGCTTCGGCTCCTCCTTCCTGCCTCTGTTAGTCATCAGTAGACTGCATGTTGTCGGAGCTATTTTTCCCACTTGTGAAAGTGCATTGTAAATTCTAGAGCATGGAATATATATGTGAGGTATTGTTATTAATAACAGCATTCACGATCTACAAGGTAGCGCACACAGTACTCAACAATACTTTTTCAATGGTTTTATGTGAGGTTGTGAGAACGAAAGACAGTATGATGCTGTGGAAAAAGTATTGCTGCTGAAGAGTAGGCAGCAACATTAGATCCTACTGCTCCTACTGAGCTACTTTCTACTTGGCTCTGAGTGCTTAGTCTTGGTTATGCTGTACACTGTATTGCATTGAATCCTCAAGCTTCTATGTAGCCATTTACCTGATGAGACTGGCACTCAAATGTTAGGTCACTTGCCCAGGAAGTCAGAGCTATTGAGAGGCAGAGCCAGAATGTGGACTCAGAATTGTCTGAATCCCAAACCTGTGCTCCCATCACTGCGCTTGGAATTTGTAGGCTTAGGTGCTGCTGGAGAAGGTGTTGGAGAAGAAAGAGCCCCTGAATGAAGCAGACAGCTATTGCAGTGGGTGGGAGTTTGGCTCGGACAACCTTCAAGGTTACAGCTCATTCCAGATCATTTTATGAAGTAAGTATGTTGCCTGTGTCCGCAGTTAAAAATTGGAAAAGTAGGGAAGGAAAAGGAACTGAGAGGAATGACAAAGCAAAATGCTTTCAATCAGTTCTTTTCAGCAGTTCTGCTCTTGCCCCACCCCCAGGCTTCTGCGCTGGACTTGGCAACCCTCCTAGCAGAGCACTCATCACTTGCATACTCCTCACGTACAGAAAAAGCCATTCTATGCTGTACAGTGGGGAAACGCCCTTAATATGTCCTCAAAGGGATTCAGCTCTATCATCATTTAAAATATGTGAAATCAGGTGGTGTCAGTAATAGAGCATGAGTGAAAACATCTTTATTTAAAACATTGTATGTACATTAATGCCAATTCAAGCATGAAATGTTGAGCATTTCTTGGAATATGGTTTGGGATTTGAGAGGCACAAAGGTACCTGCAAGATGTCTTTGGTATGTTTATAAATATAAATAGAAGTAAAATAACAGTTGCATCTTCATTTATAATGAATCTATATTGTGGCCTCAGAGCTACAGAAAGTAGATGCCAAATTTTGTCTTTCATTAACATATGCCTTAAATGACAGGGAAGAGGTGTTGAAGACAAAATTATTTTTTCCTGTGCGTATGAATCAGCAGTAACAAGCAAGGAACAATAGTTATGCGAGTGAGGGCCTGCAGAGGGTAAGGAAAATAGCATCGGATGGAAAAAGCAAGTGTACCTGCAGGGGGACCAGGGAGCCCAGGGCACAGCTCCCTTGAGCTCCATCTCCAGGATCTGAGAGCACAGTGACCCTAACTCTGGCAGGTCAGGTTGGCATGAGTGGAATGGAGCACATTAAACCCTCCAGCTGGTCAGAGACAGCCCGCCTTCAGCTGCTGCTGACGCTTGTCAGAGGCAGGCTACAAGGTACCACTGCTTGGGTAAGAGCTTAAAATAACACCTTTTGATTCTCCAGTGCCTGTGATTTCACAACCACTTAACCTTCAGTAACGATAAGCCAGAAGCAGGTGAATGAATAAATAAACGTTAACATTACAGAAGGAGGAGGGGGGAATCAATACTTCGGGAACATATTGACTTCAAGTAGTCACAAATAGTGTCCAGGTAACTCTGTCCTTGGCATCCTAGGGATTTGTGTCTTTAACTTTGATTTTCTCCAGCAGGTAGGCACTAAGTAGAGCTTGGGCCCCAGTGGAAAAAAATGCTTTTCTACCAGATGTTACTTACCAAATAAGATGAGCCATCGATTACCTGCTGACCGGCCCCAAGCACTGTTTCTCTTACTCGGGCTGATGAGGTTTATAGTCCAGGAAAAATGGGAATCTTGTTATGCTTATAAAAATTCTCCCACAGCATTCTCAACCCATTGCTCTTTTTTGTGACACTTCCTATTTCATTGCGCAGAAAAAGCACAAATTAATTTTTTCCTCAGTTTATCTTCAAAGATCAAGTGTTATTTGTTCCAAAAAACATTGGGAAGGGGTCAGTCACCCTCTGAGTTTTAAGGCTTCTTATTGGGAAAAAGCACTACAACTGTATGACTTCCACAAATTAATGATGAGACGCTGTTGAACCAATTGCATTAGTGAGTTTTAGTTTAGTTTTGTTTTGTTTTGTTTTTAATGCTGTGTACCGAGCACAAGCAACACCATGATTTTGCTGCCTCATTTCTCCCAGCTCCTGCCTCCCAAGAGGACCATGTCTTCCTCCTGAGGCTGCCCTGCTGAACAGAATGATCCCTCCCCGTCCATCTTTAGTTGTGCCCTGCTCCCTCAGGTGAGCGGAGACAGCAGCCCCCCAAGCAGCA